AGTGGTCTGTTGTGGTTGTAACTGTGCACTGTGTTAGATAATGTTCCAGTGGTCTGTTGTGGTTGTAACTGTGCACTGTGTTAGATAATGGTCCAATGGTCTGGTGTGGTTGTAACTGTGCACTGTGTTAGATAATGTTCCAGTGGTCTGTTGTGCTTGTAACTGTGCACTGTGTTAGATAATGTTCCAGTGGTCTGTTGTGGCTGTAACTGTGCACTGTGTTAGATAATGGGCCAGTGCTCTGTTGTGGTTGTAACTGTGCACTGTGTTAGATAATGTTCCAGTGCTCTGTTGTGGCTGTAACTGTGCACTGTGTTAGATAATGGGCCAGTGCTCTGTTGTGGTTGTAACTGTGCACTGTGTTAGATAATGGGCCAGTGCTCTGTTGTGGTTGTAACTGTGCACTGTGTTAGATAATGTTCCAGTGGTCTGTTGTGGTTGTAACTGTGCACTGTGTTAGATAATGTTCCAGTGGTCTGTTGTGCTTGTAACTGTGCACTGTGTTAGATAATGGTCCAGTGGTCTGTTGTGGTTGTAACTGTGCACTGTGTTAGATAATGTTCCAGTGGTCTGTCGGGCATTTCTCCACAGTGCTGACATTTCCTCTCATCTTCCGGAACCTGTAAGCCTATTTCCCATGCACATGGGTATCCAAGCCTGATGCGCTGTAAGTGTACTTCTGTTGCTCTACTGCTCCCTTTCATCAAACTAAGTGCTCGCCTATTTGTGCTTGCGGGGGTTGAGCTTTGGCTCTTTGGTCCCGCCTCTCAACTGTCAACCAACTGGTTCAGAGGAAGTGTTGGTGACGGTGATGGTGTCAGGTTGACGGGGTTCTATACAGCAAGGCCGGTGACAGCTTGGAGCAGCCCGCAGGCCCATATATCCACTACAGCCCGGTTGGTCCGGCACTTCAAGAAAACTGGCTGTTTTCCCTTGAGGACACGAAGCTGTGAGGTGTATTATGGTGCTGTATCTGACCTCATACGTCAGGCTGCGAGCAGCCGCGTCCAACAGCCTGGTTGATCAGTCCAGCAACACGAAGCTGTGAGGTGTATTATGGTGCTGTATCTGACCTCATACGTCAGGCTGCGAGCAGCCGCGTCCAACAGCTCAAGGTAACCTCAAGGTAGGACCCGAGTGAGGCGAAGGCGGGGTGGCAAGGACTGCACTCCGTCACACCATAACTTTTGACTGTGTTTGGCCGTCATTTGGTCAGACTGCTACTTTGTTCATGCTGTTTGACAGGAGGGAGAGTTCCTCCTGTCAAGAGGGCAAGTCATAAAGTAAATAAAGTAGAATATAGGAGATAAAGTAGGGCAAGTGCCATGCCCTACTTTACCTTAGGGCATGACATGGTCCACCACGACCAGTTGCTGCCTCGCCGCCTACACTCTCCCCTCCCTCCCCCTACCCCTCTCCCCTCCCTCCCTCCCAAGGGGCCATCCACAAAGGGCCGGAAGCCCGCCAGCCAGAAAGCTCACTATGGAAAGATTAAGATTAAAAACAACAAGAGGAACATGGGATAATTAAGGGTGAGGGCGAGGCAGGGGAGGCGGTCCGCAGAGGGGAAACACCAGGGGAGGGGAGAGAGAGGGGAGAGAGAGGGGAGAGAGAGAGGGGAGAGAGGGGAGAGGGGAGAGAGAGAGGGGAGAGGTGAGAGAGGGGAGAGGTGAGAGAGGGGAGAGGTGAGAGAGAGAGGGGAGAGAGAGAGGGGAGAGAGAGGGGAGGAGTGTGGAAGTACGGGACCGAGAACACTGCAGTATGAGGGAAGTGGGTAAAATGTAAGAGGAAGATGGGAATAATGAACACACGGACGAACTAGGGGGGTAGAAGGGCAAGATGATGAAACAAGAAGCACCAGGGCAAGAAGAGAGAGGGAAGAGGAAACTACCAAAGGTGAAGAGGGGAAAATCAAGGAGGAGGAATAAAGATCAGTTTGTGGTAACACTCTTAGTCACACACGTGTCTATAGCCTGCAGGAATGATGTAGCCAGATTAGTGTGTAAAATGTTGTTAGTAGTTCTCTCGAGGTGTTGTCAGCAGCGGTAGTTAATGAGTACACGAGTGTGGTTAAGGCACTCTAGGCGGTGTTTTTTTTGTTTTTTTGTTTTGTTTTTTTATATTATTTTCTACCACAGACGTGGCCACACATTTACAATGCTAACCAGCATTAGGTGTGAGGCGGGCAAGACCCCCCACGGTGGATGACAGTGTTGAAGGGGTCACGTTGTACAGGTGACCATAAGTGATATTTTTGGGGGGGGGCGGCGTGATACATAAGGCTGGTGGGTGTGGCCGGAGGTGTGGGGGAGGGGGGGAGGGGGGGGGGGGGGTCAGAGACATAAATACCGAGGCTAGCACCTGGCGCAGTTCAGTGCTGTGCCGGACACTGAGGGAAGAGGTTACCTTACCTTGAGGTTACCTTGAGGTGCTTCCGGGGCTTAGCGTCCCCGCGGCCCCGGTCGCCGACCAGGCCTCCTGGTTGCCGGACTGATCAACCAGGCTGTTGGACGCGGCTGCTCGCAGCCTGACGTATGAGTCACAGCCTGGTTGATCAGGTCACCAACTATGGCTGCCACAACCGGCTTAGTTGACATTGGTGCTACAAGTACACCTTGGTGTACAGACACACACACACACACACACAATAGAGCCCAATAGGCTCAGGAATCTGTACACATGTTGAGAGGCGGGACCAAAGAGCCAGAGCTCAACCCCCGCAAACACAACTAGGTGAGCACACACACACTAGGTATAATCAAGTTGGGGGTTTGACAGCTGAGAGGACGTCACTCTGGACTCGTAATCCTAGGGTCCGAGTTCGATTCCGGCTGATGGCACAAACAAAATAGCCGGAGTTTCTTTCACCCTGGTGCTCTGTTCACCTAGCAGTAAACAGGTACCTGGGAGTTGAACAGCTGCAACAGGCTACACCGTGGAGATACATGTATATGTATGCATGTATGTGTGTGTGGAGACAGACAAGAGTAAATACACACGTGCGCGCGCACACAATACACCAGAGGTATAAAGAGTGTTAGCAGGTGATAATTTAGGAAGACAGTAATTGTGGAGGTGGGGAGGTAATTCACACCCACAAACCCAGCCGCCATAACCACATAACACTCCAGTAACGTTACCATCACCTTCACTACCACACACACCCGCTTCTCACCCCTCCCCGCACACACCACACACACACACACACACACACATACACACACACACACACACCCACCCCACCCCACACACACACTTCTCACCCCCACCTCCCACCCACCCACACCACACACCAGTACACGGTGGAGGCCAAAACCGTCAGTAGTTTCAAAGCGTTATATGACAAAGAGTGCTGGGAAGACGGGACACCACGAGCGTAGCTCTCATCCTGTAACTACACTTAGGTAGTTACAGATTACACTGGTGTCAGGCCACCCACAACTGGCTCCAATTGTTGTCAAATCGTTAATCAAATACAATTTCAATGTTAGTAGCCAAGATAATTTAGGAACAAAGGGAGGGGGTGAATAACTTACTGCTGGGGGCCAGATAACTGCTCCCTGCAACACTGATATCATTCACGATAACACAAAGTGATGAATGAGAGCACGAAGATTACTTTACTTCAACAAATTCACAAGAACCGTGACGAGGGTTCGAACCTACGTCCGAGAACATCCCAGACGCTGCCTTAATCGCCTGAGCTACGACATGGTTAAAAGAATTGCAACCGGAATTACTAAAGAATTACTTTAGTTCACAACTGTGATTTATTAAACAATAATTGGCAATAACTTGACGTCTATAATTCCTATCTCAGTACTGCCCACCACAACACCAGGTACTGACCCCCCCCCCCCCCCCCACAACACCAGGTACTGACCCCTCCCCCCACAACACCAGGTACTGACCCCCTCCACACAACACCAGGTACTGACCCCCCCCCACAACACCAGGTACTGACCCCCCCCCCCACAACACCAGGTACTGACCCCCCCCCACACCCCCCACAACACCAGGTACTGACCCCCCCCCCACCCCCCACAACACCAGGTACTGACCCCCCCACCCCCCCACAACACCAGGTACTGACCCCCACCACAACACCAGGTACTGACCCCCCCCACAACACCAGGTACTGACCCCCCCCCACAACACCAGGTACTGACCCCCCCCCACAACACCAGGTACTGACCCCTCCCCCCACAACACCAGGTACTGACCCCCCCCCACACAACACCAGGTACTGACCCCCCCCCCACACAACACCAGGTACTGACCCCCCACCCCCCACAACACCAGGTACTGACCCCCCCACCCCCCACAACACCAGGTACTAACCACCACAACACCAGGTACTACCCCCCCCCCCCCAACACCAGGTACTGACCCCCCCCACAACACCAGGTACTGACCCCCCCCCCCCACAACACCAGGTACTGACCCCCCCCCACAACACCAGGTACTGACCCCCCCCACAACACCAGGTACTGACCCCTCCCCACAACACCAGGTACTGACCCCCCCCCACAACACCAGGTACTGACCCCCCCCCACAACACCAGGTACTGACCCCCCCCCCCCCCCACAACACCAGGTACTGACCCCCCCCACCCCCCACAACACCAGGTACTGACCCCACCCCCCCCCCACCCCCCACAACACCAGGTACTGACCCCCCCCCCACCCCCCCCCACAACACCAGGTACTGACCCCCCCCCCCCACCCCCCACAACACCAGGTACTGACCCCCCCCCACCAACACCAGGTACTGACCCCCCCCACAACACCAGGTACTGACCCCCCCCAACAACACCAGGTACTGACCCCCCCCCACAACACCAGGTACTGACCCCCCCCCACAACACCAGGTACTGACCCACCCCCCACAACACCAGGTACTGACCCCCCCCCCACAACACCAGGTACTGACCCACCCCCCACAACACCAGGTACTGACTCCCCCCCCCCCCCCCCCCCCCACAACACCAGGTACTCACGCGTGATACTGGGACTGCAGGAAGTTGAACTCCTCCTTGATGCGGTCGCAGGTCTCAGCGATGGTGAACTTGAGTTGTCCAGGCCCGGCAGGCGGCGCAGGAGGACCCTGTCAACACAACCAAACATCAACATCTGTCAACACAACACCTGTCAACGCCTGTCAACACAACCTGCTTCAAGCACACACCTGCTTCAGGCACACACCTGCTTCAGGCACACACCTGCTTCAGGCACACACCTGCTTCAGGCACACACCTGCTTCAGGCACACACCTGCTTCAGACACACACCTGCTTCAGGCAACCCTTCATCATATATTACAAACAATATACATTCAACATCCAAGTCCATAAAACAAATTAAATGGCTTAAAGTACTAAAGTCTAAAGTATTATGAGTAAATTAAAATATAAGCAAAAGTCATGCAATTATTATTAACAAATTCATACGAGAGAGAATGTTGAAATAGAGGGAATACAGAGAACATATACGGCACGCATACACGCGATCAACCACCTAAATTATTGGCGTCGTCTCAAAGCTCTCAAAATGTACTCACTAGAATGGAGACGAGAGAGATATCAAATAATATAGTGATTAATATATATCTATGTGCTTCTCTACCTGTCCCAGTCTGCCTGCCTGTCAAGACAGTCCCCTGCTTGCCCACCGTCAAGTACTCAACCGCTACGACAAAATCACTGACGCATTAGAAGAAAAACAGCAACAGCCTGGTGGACCAAACTCTCACAAGTCAAGCCTGGCCTCGGGCCGGGCTTGGGGAGTAGAAGAACTCCCAGAACCCCATCAAGCAGGTATATGTGGGCCTGCGGGCCGCTCCAAGCAACAGCCTGGTGGAGCAAGCCTTCACAAGTCTCACCTGGGAAGCCGAAGCACTCAAAAAGCCTGAACCAGCTACAGTGCGTTGCTCCCCTGGGCCGCCATGTGCGCCGTCATCAACACCATAAACCAAGCGCATGAGAGAACAGGTTGCAGACCCTGACGGAGCAATGCTCACTAGAGAATCATCACGTCGCTTCATGCAGGTCGGCGTTCAATCCCCGACCGTCCACAAGTGGTTGAGCACCATTCCTTCCCCCCGTCCCATCCCAAATCCTTATCCTGATCCTTTCCCAGTGCTATATAGTCGTAATGGTTTGGTGCTTTCCCCTGATAATTCATTTCACTTCCTCTCTATAACGTCCTTGACTAATGAATGAATGAATGAATGAATATAAGAATGCATGTTTTATGATCGCACAGGACCTTCAGGCTGCAAACTGTCATCTGGGAAACGGAACAATTTGATCTATACATGACAAATCAATTGTCGAAAGGCTTCAATAACGGCAAAGTGACTTGAGGCTGGTAGGCGCCTCCTTGCGCAGAGAGGCGCCGCTCAAGACGTTCCTTGGTCCTCCACCACCACCACCACCGGGCAAGGCAAAGACTGAAGTGAACACAGAACAATGAGAACAAAGACTGGACTGAACACACAATAATGAGAACAAAGTCTGGAGGGAACTGAGGGGAAATAATAGCACGGTCAATACACCACCTGGTTGACACCTGGTTGTTCACCACAACCTGAACACAACACATGCCAATAGGATGCCTTCCCCCACCACCTGCCAACCCCACCCCCTAGCCCCCACCCGAGGGGGGGGGGAGGTTCAACCCAAGACGGGTTGACATAATAACAAATGGTAGATGTGAACACCGGCGGATATCTTGTTAATGACATTCCATTAGTCTCCCTCCCATATGGTGTATGTCTCCCCCCAACAACCACCACCACCACCACTACCAGTCCCCCCCCCCACCACCATAATTACGAGGATAGTGGTGGTGGTGGTTGGAGTCCTGCGCCCTCCACCAACAATTACTGGTAATGGAGAGTGAGGAGTCTCTTGTGCCTCCTACATCCACCTCCAGCATCTCACCCTCCACCTCCACTCCTATCTACCCCATCCCCGTCCTTCCTCTTATCTTGGTTATCTTGAGATGATTTCGGGGCTTAGCGTCCCCGCGGCCCGGTCTTCGACCAGGCCTCCACCCCCAGGAAGCAGCCCGTAGCAGCTGACTAACTCCCAGGTACCTAATTACTGCTAAATATCAGGGGGGGGGGCATCTCCCGCATTTTAACCGGCCACAAACAAGTGGCCGAGCAGGTCCTGCTCTAGTCCACAATTATGTTTACCTGGAGGTTACCTGCAGAGGGTTCCCAGAGTTGTTCTACTCGCCTCACTCACCACTCGTGTTCCTCAGGTTACCTTGCGACCTTGCGATGATCTGGGGCTTAGCGTCCCCGCGGCCCGGTCTTCGACCAGGCCTCCACCCCCAGGAAGCAGCCCGTGACAGCTGACTAACACCCAGGTACCTATTTTACTGTTAGGTAACATTGGTATAGGGTGAAAGAAACTCTGCCCATTGTTTCTCGCCGGCGCCTGGGATCGAACCCAGGATCACAAGTTCAGCGTGCTGTCCGCTCGGCCGACCGGCTCCCTGTAGTTATCCTGTAATTACATATAGTTCTTCTACTCTCCCAAGCCCAGCTGGGAGCCACGTTTGGCCGGTTATAACTTGATCTATCATTCTGTTGCTCGTAGCGGCCAGCATGCTCACCATAACATCTGTATGTATATGTATTCCCAGCAGAAAACGACAGGTTGGATAACAAGAACTTTTCACACTAGAGATGCTATACCGATGATGATACTCTTCAAGACGCTTGTGCTCTCTAGAGTGGAGTACTGCTGCACAATGACAGCACCTTTCAAAGCTGGAGAAATTGCTGACCTGGAGAGCGTTAACAAGAACTTTTCAAGTTCTAGATAACAAGATAAGATATTCTGGATAACAAGGTTGGATAACAAGAACTTTTCACACAAGAGATGCTATACCGATGATGATACTCTTCAAGACGCTTGTGCTCTCTAGAGTGGAGTACTGCTGCACAATGACAGCCCCTTTCAAAGCTGGAGAAATTGCTGACTTGGAGAGCATGCAGAGATCCTTTACTGCTAGAATCCACTCAGTAAAACATCTAAACTATTGGGACCGACTAAAGAGCCTAAATCTGTACTCCCTTGAGCGCAGGCGGGAGATACATAATATCCTGTAATTACGTAGAAAACTACGTAATTACAGCATATTATGTTTTACGACTTTCTACGTAAACACGTGGAAAATAATAATAGGGTGCAGGTCCCGTCCAGCCTTATACGTCAGGCTGCACGCAGCCACCTCCAACAGCCTGGTTGACCAACCCAGTGGGCTGGTCGGAGACTGGGCCGCGGGGCTCTTGATCCCCGGAAACTACACAAGGTAGATAGACGTGTACTCAAAGGCCAAAAATTTGTACTAGAAAATGGCAGCGGTTCCCGAATTTGACTTGTAATCCCATTTTCTGTTTTGGGTCCTCTGGTAGGTTAGCATAAGGGGCACTTTAGCACGACACTTTCTAGACGTTGGGGAACCGGTCGGACAGCACGCTGGACTTGTGATCCTGTGGTCCCGGGTTCGATCCCGGGCGCCGGCGAGAAACAACGGGCAGAGTTTCTTTCACCCTATGCCCCTGTTACCTAGCAGGCAGGTGATAGGTACCTGGGTGTTAGTCAGCTGTCACGGGCTGCTTCCTGCGGGTGGAGGCCTGGTGGAGGACCGGGCCGCGGGGACACTAAAGCCCCGAAATCATCTCAAGATACCCTCAAGAGGATAGGACCTTTGCACTGATAACCAGAGCTTTCCAGTGGTGCCAAGGGCCGGGTTTGAGACATTAAGCCAGAGAGTAGAACTAGCGAGTGAGAACTGGGGCTCCAAATTGTCCACAACCCTGAGGGCCGCCACAACCCTGAGGACCGCCACAACCCTGAGGACCGCCACAACCCTGAAGGCCGCCACAACCCTGAGGGCCGCCACAACCCTGAGGGCCGCCACAACCCTGAGGGCCGCCACAACCCTGAGGGCCGCCACAACCCTGAGGGCCGCCACAACCCTGAGGGCCGCGACAACCCTGAGGGCCGCGACAACCCTGAGGGCCGCGACAACCCTGAGGGCCGCCACAATCCTGAGGGCCGCCACAACCCTGAGGGCCGCCACAACCCTGAGGGCCGCCACAACCCTGAGGGCCGCCACAACCCTGAGGGCCGCCACAACCCTGAGGGCCGCCACAACCCTGAGGGCCGCCACAACCCTGAGGGCCGCCACAACCCTGAGGGCCGCCACAACCCTGAGGGCCGCCACAACCCTGAGGACCGCCACAACCCTGAGGCCGCCACAACCCTGAGGGCCGCCACAACCCTGAGGGCCGCCACAACCCTGAGGGCCGCCACAACCCTGAGGGCCGCCACAACCCTGAGGGCCGCCACAACCCTGAGGGCCGCCACAACCCTGAGGGCCGCCACAACCCTGAGGACCGCCACAACCCTGAGGGCCGCCACAACCCTGAGGGCCCTGAGGAAGAAGACCCACCACCACCATCATCATATCATCATCATCATCATCATATCATCATCATTGAGTGTCAATGACCCCGCCACAGTTTTGTCACAATTGGATAAAGTCCTTCATCTCTTACAATTGCTAATGATTCTACAGTGTTAATGTAATTGATCTCTGCTCAAATGAATAACTGTTGATCAGTCTACATGAATAACTGTTGATCAGTCTACACTAGTTGTCAGTAGTTTGCATACTAGGATAGTCAGCAGTCAGTCCCAGCTATTACTGCTGACTTTCCTCTGTAGTCACAGGTAATTATCAAGAGATATTACAGGTCATTAGAGGATAATTGAGCAGAGGTGGTCACAGGTGTTGGTGCTTGTGTCATTACAAGTGATGATAGCAATAGTTGTCAACCGTTATTGTAATGGTTATCTTCTTATCTTGACGTTATCTTCAGATCATTTCTGGGCTTAGCGTCCCCGCGGCCCGGTCCTCGACCAGGCCTCCTTTTTGTTACACACCCCCAGGAAGCAGCCCGTAGCAGCTGTCTAACTCCCAGGCACCTATTTACTGCTAGGTAACAGGAGCGTCAGGGGGAAAGAAACATTTTGCCCATTTGTCTCCGCCTCCACCGGGGATCGAACCCGGGACCTCAGGACTA